GGCCCCTTTAAAAAAAGATGCCCGACGCCAAATACGTTTAAATAAAATATACGACGGCCTCCCCATAAGAGCAATGAGATTTACGTCCCAGTATTGAAGGAGGACAGAAAATCGAGTCGAATGGTTTCAAGACATACGTTCATCCTTGTTTAGTCAAACCTCCTACAAACCAAGGATAGACTTATGTAGGAAATGCATTGAAATTCTATAGCCATCCTTCAATATCGGGACAGGAATTTAAGAGATACCAAAGAGTAGATAAGACAAGAGACGACAGTGAACCAAGAAGTCGAATTTCGCGAGAGAGACGCAGATATATTAAAATTTAAAGGTCCCATCAAGTCCCATTTTGTCTGTTGCCAAGTATATTACTTTGAAAAATAAACAAGATTTTCTGAAAATAAATTAATAATATATAAGAATAATAAATAAATAATATAAGTACCTAACGTATGTTAATACGGAAATGTAAATTTTTAGTTTAGGTTGGTTTAGGTTCTTTTTTCGCAATATACTGATAATATCAAAGAAACAAAATGACTTAAGTTGATCGATTTCAAAGATAAACAAATAAAATCTGAAAATCTGACAACGGCGTATTTTATTTATTCTAACCCATGATACAAAGAATACAAGGTATGATATTGCGCAGGTTGGTCACTACGTCACAGGTGATAAACGCCACCATTGGTCGGCAAGCTCTACGCGCCAATTTCAAATTGTCAAACGATTGTGTCATCTGTGAAATTTGATTGTGTCAAAATGTGAAAATAATTTTTCAAATGTCAAGCTCTATGTCAAAACATAACTTTTGGGGTTATGTCCTAATTCTTCCCTATTTTAGGTCTTTTTTTAGTAGTGGCAATTGAACAATATGGATATTTTTTGTATGGCGTATGACGTCACAGGTGGTATGCGCAAACTTAAGGAAATTGGAGCCGCTATCGATCATACCTTGTTTTCTTTGTACCATGATTCTAACCTATGATTTTAGGACGCTAATCAGGCCATAGATAAATAAAACAAGTTTAGATTGGAAAGCCCGTAAAAATTTTGGGTCGCGAAATTATTTTGGGTCGCGACCGTTATACGCGATCTGGCGCTGCTATAGCGGTCGCTAAGAACAACGGCAAACAAAAACAGAAATAATTTTCTCTTGTCAAAGTCAGAATCTTCAAAAATCATAATAATCTTTCAAAATCTAAACTGCTCTCATTAAAGAAATTCCGAAAAGTGTTTATAGCGTCCATTTTCAAAGTAATAATTGCTATCTTGTGAGTTTAATTCAAGTTTTATTTACTCCAACCGGTGATAATTGTGAAAAAGTGGCATTAAAAATTTAAAAAGCTGTGCTGTGAACTGTGAACTGCAAAAACCATCGTGGATCGTGGCATAACGTCGATTTCCAATGTTTCATAGGTATTTCATATATGCGTCCTTATATAAAATAAAGTTTCTTGTATGTAACACACTGTCTTTTATTTATAAAATTAAACGAAAATAATAATACATTTGAATAAGCAATATTTAGCGATATAATTCCGGAAAAAGCCGAACCGCTCCGAAATTTTCAAAAGTTTTGGGTCGCGACCGTTGCAAGAATAGCGCCAAATAGTGTTTACATTGTCCTTATGGGCACTTTCCAATCTAAACTTGTTTCATTTATCTATGAATCAGGCTTAAACATAAACAAATCTGATTAGTTGTTTTCTTGCATTTTTGCCTTTTTAAAGTGTGTTTTCAGAGTTTTTCTCAGTCTTATTCTTCGACAAACATAATATTTAACTCTTTTCCAAAGAATCCTGAAAAGTATTTTTATAGAAATATACTATATAATTATATGTTATTAAACTAAAATAATCCATAGATCGAAGACATGGTTAGAAGCTTGTAATATATTTTTACAAAAAAAATTGAGCAACTTAATTTTTTTGTACATAAACTCCACATTGTGATATTACACTTGTTCAAGTCCAGATGTAAAAAATACACGTAAATAAAACATTTCTTACAAATCGACTTGGTCACTTTATCTTGTTTACCAACGATATACAAAATATTGCTTTTATTATCTTTATTCCCCGACAAATATGTTTCTAATTATAATTTATTTTATATAATATTTAGAAAACTCATTTTTTTTTCGTTTCTATTTATTTCTTTACCCATACAGTAACTATTTATAAGCTACTAGTTGAAGCCTGGCGCATCCGCAACGACATCGACATCAGGAAAAAAATACTTTTTATTTTTTCCTTTAATTAAATGAAAAACAAAAAATCCAGCGACGACAGTTTTTAGAAGAGCCAATTAGCTATATTTTAGTAAAAAAAAGCAACTTTCTAGAGCAAGCCGTTACTTCAGTAGAGAGAACACAGATAAACATTGGCATTTTATATACCTATAGGCAAGTTTTAATAATAGTCTATTTCAAATTTCCCGCGAAAAAATTACGAAAATTTAAAGGGACAAGCGAGACGAGGTCACTCTCCCCACCACTCAAACATGAAAGGTACCGCGCGAACTGTCGTCTCTTGTCTTATCTACTCTTTGGCGATACCCTCCGTATACTTTATTTTAAACGTATTTGCCCGACGCACTTTTGCCGCACTCTGTACAATTTAAATCTCTTAGTAATCGGTACGTGTAGGGCCCCTTTTAAAAAAGATGCCCGACGCACTATTGCCGGGCCCTGTACAATTTAAATCTATCAGTAATCGTTAACGTGCAGGGCCCCTTTTAAAAAAAATGTCCGACGCACTATTGTCGGACCCTGTACAATTTAAATCTCAGTAATCGTTACGTGTAGGGCCCCTTTAAAAAAATTGTATTCTACAAATCAAAAAATGAAACAAATCTAAAACGTCAGACTTATTATTCCTTATTCCCGCTAAATAAGTACGTAAGTATATACCGACTAATCATCGGGATGTGAAAAATAAATGGAAAGAATCAATTTTATTCCGAAAGCCCGCCACTGTTTACGACAGAATGAAACTTTAGTCGTTTGCCGTGTCGAAATAATGCGGTTGAAAATAAAGCCGGCACAATTGAGGCCATGGAAGTGGCAGACATTGGGCGGTGCTGCGCGAAGTTGAATGAAACGGCGAGTACTACGCTAACGTTCAACGATCTTCAGAGTCAACAGCATTGCCAAATCTACATTCGATTTTCTTAAGCCAGGCTATTACAAGAAACCGATGATATTTGAAGTACACATCACACGATATGGTATTATCCTTAATAAGTTCAGAGTTCAGCGTGTAAAAATTTAACTTAAAAATTGCTGGTTTTACAAGTCAATTTTTTTTGATTTCCCAAATCGTAAAAAATCTAGGTTTAGAATTTTTTCACATTAGAACACCTCATTAAAAACGCTATAGTTCGATAAGTTAAGAAGCTTTTTATGTGTTTTTTTTATATAGAATGCATAAATAAACCATTTTTTTCGAAAATTACACATTCTTAAATTCCCATAATACTCTATGATCGAAAAAAAACCTGTCAGTTATATGTAAAATTATATGAGGAATGTCTTCGATGTTTATTTCCAAGCCATCTGGACGCGTTCTTTCGATCATGTCGTAGCTGTAGAATGTTTTAATTTACTTATGTTTTCTCAATACCGTATTCTCGAAAAAAAAAACAGCGTTCAGTTGGCTGGGAAATGACGATCGATGACATTTCCCATATAAATTTACATATAAAATGACAGCGATCTTCATTTCATAGCCATCACTGACGCCGTTTTTTTTTTCGGTCAACATACGGTATATTTTTATTATCTGTCGAATGTTTTTTAAAGTTTTTTTGCAATTTTTTACTGTATTTTCACACCAAAATGTATATAAATGGATAGGTGCGAAGGCGTACATCTCTGAATCCTGAAAGATTCAACATTTTTATTCAACTTATACCTATATGTTCCTACATGTAACAAATACGAAATCGAAAAAAAAACGGCGTCATTTTCAAAAAGCGTTTTTATTTCATAGCCATCGCTATGAAAGATCGACAATGGCCATCCTGACTATATGACCAGTCCGATCCTGGATATACAATATGATCTAAAAAAAAACGGCGTCAGCGGTGGCTATGACATGAAGATCGCTGTCATTTTATATGTAAAATTATATGGGGAACGTCATCGATCGTCATTTGCAAGCCAACTGGACGCCGTGTTTTTTCCATCATACGGTATTTATTATACCTATTATTAAAAACTGTAAAGAATTAATTGATACCCTATGCATAAAAAAGGAATACTTACATCTTACATGTGTATAAAATTTCCTCTGTTTTTGTTATTTCGTAACTTTATAGTTTTGGCAACACGGCTCAGTTCAATTTCTGTGTTGGTGCGCCGATAACTGTCGAAGCGCCCCCATATGGCGATGGCACTAAGTAAGTGAAACGAGCATGGCGAGGTAACGCTTAATGTTTGTCGTGTTATTTTTCGATTCGAATAGTGAATGCTTGGAGAAAAAATATCACGTTTGGTTTAACTTCGCTCAAGGATAGTTGGTATTAATTTTTATTGTGGTTTTGAGTGATAAATCTCTGTATAGTGTTAAATATGAAGCAAAGCGTTTCTAGTTAACCTGTAAGATATCTGCGGCTTGAATCAAAATGGTGGAAAATACCGCGTGCTTTTTGCATTTGCCGCTTTTTCCTTTATCATACAGGCCTGGCTTCTTAAGAGTAAGTGTAGCAACTTATCGAAATGCACATAGAAATATTAGTGTTTTTATTTTCTCATTATTGTTAACTTTGATTTACGCCAGTAATAAATCTATTTCTGTTATAGTACTGACTAGTGAAAGCGTGTTTACAGATATAAAACTTTTAAGGAGAGATGTATTTTTTAAACAATTTTATTTGAAACTTTGTTAGATGTAAATATTACCATTATTCAATGTGATCTTTTTGAAGTTATTTGATATTCAGATTTAAAATGGGAAATACCTACCTATAATTAATATTTTTTATTTTTGTTTCAGTTCCGACTTTTCGGTTCCGACTTCAACAGACCCCTGATATTGCCCAGAAAGCTATTGAAAATTCAGAAAGAGTTGCAGCCCTTAAAGATATAATAGGAGAATATTTAATTCCTTTTGTTGTCAGAAGTTTTAATCAGGAAACGTGTGCCAGATTAGCCCTAATAAAGCTTATTAATGGAGGATATGTGTCCAAACTTGAAGCAGAAATTAAAATATGTCCTACAATTTTAGCTTTAATTTCGACTGCTACACCTTGCTATGATATTAAAGTAAGTTTTTATACCGCCAAGGTATTCTTGCGCATTCGCAATTATATAAAATTTATTATATTACATAAATATCATTTTTTTCTATATGGAGAAGTGTATTGGGATTGATGACAATTTCTATATGAAAGACATGGGTAGTGAGATGTTATTTGTTTATCTCACTACCTTGTCTTTCATAAAGAGATATGTATTTCTTCACTATGTTGAGGGGATGCCATATTTTAGATGAGAATGATTTGCTTTCAGTTTGCCATTGCCCATCAGAGTTGGCAGTTTTAGATTTATAAGTTCTATCACAGCCAGCTTTGATGAGCAATGTTGGACTTGTATTCATCTGAAGACAAAGTGTTTGTGCCCTATGATCGTCAACTTGGCTGTGAATTCTGGTTTTGATATGATATCACAGCCACTTTGATGAGTTAGGTTGCAGATATACAGCAGCAGAAGTATCAAGATACAAACATGGACATTTGGATTATTAGTTATGCTCATAGCGTGTCAATTTGGCTGTGTACCATGTTTTAAATAGGTATCACAGCCATTTTGACAAGTTTTGGGATAACACAGACTTCAGTTGAAAATTTTCAAGAGTTGTATGTTAATAATTTACCTAGTCATTATATGTCTGTGCCGCTCATCAGGTGGTTGTGAAATGTTAATATAAATTCATATCACAGCCAGCTTTGATGAGCGATGCAACATTGATATCAACTTAATATTGGATAGTTATGATTAGAAAGCGTGTGAATTCGTTTGGACGTAATACGTAGACAAGACAGTAATTTGGGTGTTAAATTTACTTTTTAATAATTCTAACCTAATTTTGATAATTTAGAATTGCACTATATTCTGCTTTATATTCAACAATTCATGTAGCCTCTCGCTCATCAACTGGATGTGAAATGGATAATTGACTCATATCACAGCCAGCTTTGATGAGCGTGGGAGTACATACACATCTTCAGATTTAAAAAAGCAGTAGCATGCAGGTAAACGTCATCTAATGTTTCTTTTTTATTTGTTTAGTATAAATAATTATATTGTATTTTTTTTAGGTAGTGAGTCAATTAGCACCAATATTGGGAACAGATATAACAGAACGAATATTACTTAATAGATTTTTGGAACTATGTACAAGTAAATGTCACCTAACAAGACAATCAGCTGCAGAAAATATTGGTTATTTTTGTGCCGCTGTCAGTACACCAGTTTTTGAAAAGAGTTTGGTATGTATGTAATATTTATATTTTTTAAGCAAGTTTTCCATTAATGATGATATTAGACGACGGTCTTCTGATTAAAAAGTGAAGTTATAACGTCTATCTGATTTTATTTTAGTATCATTTTTTTTTAAATTTAATTTATAGGTTATAAAGTTTTTAAACTATTTTTGTTGTAGTTACCTTGTTACTTAGCACTATGCCAGGATGAGAGACCGATAGTTAGAATGCGTTGTGCAGAAAGTGTAATTTACGTATCTTGCGTCTGCCCGCCAGAATTACGAAGAACTTTATTAACCAAAACTTTTATTAACCTATTAAATGACGTAGCGGTTGTTGCGTTGACCGCCTTTGATTCTTTAGGAGGATTTATTGTGACATTTGCTAACCCTTCATTAATAAGTATCCATTATGAAGATACAACTGGAGATCTAGTGCTAGTAAACCAAAGTAAAACTCAGTTGTAAGTAAATTGTGATGTGATTGTGTTAAAATTAAATATGACAGTTTTGAATTTTAGTATATCTCGCTTCAGTCGCTTGACGTTATCTATTAATATTTGTTCTATGTCTGACGATGATGAATTTGGTGATACTATTCCGTATCTAAGGAAAAAAAATGATATTGACAGAACTAATGATTCTACTGAAACAGATGTCAACAAACTTGATTCATTGTCAGATGGACACGGCATGTTTAATAATTCGTTTAAAGTAGAGCAACAGAAGGTAAGATATTTATAAAGAAAAAAAAACTGTTGGGTTTTTAAGTCAATTTTTTTTAAATAAAAATATTCCAGTGTTTTACTATATTTAAACCTATTGATTTATATTATACATTTCAAATCAAGTAATCAAAAGATATTTTTTGAAAAAAAAATTCATTGTATACTTACAATGTACTAAAGGTTGAAGAATAAACAGCAAATTAAATTTGATATTGTTTTTTTACTAGTTCAAACAGCGCCTAAAAGATTATGTGCATTTAATGGAATAAGCAACAGGGCCCCTCTAAGAGTAATTTTCGAATCTGCATTATTCTGCGTTGTTATTCTACTTTAATTTTACTTTGTCATTTTTCTTTACCTTTATTAAATTTGTTTTATTTATTATGCTACATTAAGGTTTTGTAACTGCAGCATTAACTTTATTCTAATATATTTGCTTGTTAAAAAAATATTTACATCGTAGAATGCAGAGTTGGCATGATATATATCAATGATATACAGGGTTGTTCACCACGTACGACGCGGAGTATTGTAGCTAAACTATTAGATTTTTGCAAATTGTAAGTTTTGGGTTCGATGAAGGACTATTAGAGTTACAATTTAAAATTATTTTTACAAGATACAGAGGGTCCCAAATAAATAAGAAATATCAAAGTTGTATTTTTTTAAATGGGACACCCCCCTTGTATATTATTACATTTTTAGTTTCTACGATTAAAATAAAGGTAAATTTGATTAAGGTTTACCGCATTTTAATCTTACCGTTTTTGAAATATTTAGGTTTTTGTCAAAATACAGTAATAATTATAATGCTTTATTTCTCTAGGCGTATTTAAGTTTTTAAAACCAAATATTGTACTTAAGTATTTCTATTTACTAAATTTTATGTTGCAATAATAAAAATGGCTCTGGTACCTTTTAGGTATATCGTCAATCTTGAAGTTATTGATGTAAATTTGATATTAATATGTTCTACAATTAATATTTTAACGTTTTAAGTACGGATCGTCGGCTAAATGTTTGAGATCACTTCACTATTGATACTTAAAATTATTATTTTTAGGTTAAATTTACGATAAGTTGTCAATGTATGCGATAATTATGACAGATGAAAGAGAATGTGTTTTACTGGTTGTATTATTTTCTCTATTATATATAAGTTTTCTCTATTAAGTTTAATAAGAGTGACAAAGAAGACATAGAATTAGTTTATTTGTCTTTTGCTCGCGTCTGCGCATATCGCCTTGTATCGCTGGCGGTAACAATGAAATGTTGAAAATCCGGATTTTGTTTTATTTATACTTTCTTATTAATTTTGAAAAATAGGGGTAGCGATATTAAGTTGATAAGAATAGATATTATATTTTGATCTGTGTTAAAGGTTGAGAAGAGGATCACAATGGGAAAAACGTCGGCCGGAGTTTTGATTGCATTGGTTACAACATTCTTTTTGGGGGGTTTGTTTTTGGTGTTGTTCGTGTTATTTATGGACGATCCGCACTATTTTTATTAGAAAATGTCATTAGAAGTGTTCCTCTTCTCAATTCTGTATAGAAAATTTTAAAGTTTTGATGTACCTAAAAGGTACCAGACCCATAAAAATTATACTACCTTATAACAGAGTGTCTAAAAATTTATTTTAAATAATAACTAGTTTTAAACGGCAATAACTTCCTTAATTTAAATGGAACACCCTGTATATTTTATGAGAACCAGATGCACAATTTAATTGTCGATCAAATTATATTATAGCATTTTTACCTATGTCTTCAGGTTTTTCGTAGAAAATGCATTTTCTTATAATTTAGACCGCAATTATCAATATACCCATGGAATATTGACATTTTAGATTATTTTTAAAGATGTGACAAATTTTTAAAGGGTATAGATACTAATATAGTCGATATAGTTCGTTTATGTCATTAAAAAATAATAAAAAATATGTTTAAATATTTGTAAAAAGGACCAATTAATATGATTCCATTATTCAAACTACATTAATGGACTGCCTTGAATTGATTAATAATAATTGCTCCAAATACTAAAAACTGAATTTTGTATGTGTATTAGACAGTGTGGTAAAAAGTAACACCTTAAAAATTTTATGTCATTTTTTGACGAATGCTTATTTATAACAACAGAGACGTTCATTTTCATAACTTATTATTATATTGATTTCTGATTCTAAATCCCCATTTATTTAGAATAATTTATTAACTAACACAATTAATTAATATTTGGGCGGAAATACTGGTGGTATATTTAATTAATGGTATACTATAGTCTTTTATACAGATTTAAATAGTTTTATTTTTGTATAAAAATAGGCTGGTAATATTATCGTTTTTAGCACCTGTACATTTTGTACATTTGTTGCTTTAAAAACAATCTAAAATGTAAAATGTCAATATTCCATAGGTATATTGATAAATGAGGTCTAAATTATTAGAAAATGCATTTTCTACGAAAACTTGAAGAGATTGGTAAAAATGATTGATAAAAAAAATACAATTTGATGGTCAATGAAATTGTGCATTTGATTCTCCTAAAATATACAGGGTGTTCCATTTAAATTAAACAAGTTATTGCCGTTTAAAGCTAGAAATAATTTAAAATAAATTTTTAAACACTCTGTATGAGGCAGTATTATTTTTATTATTGCAACACAATAACTGATCAATAATTAAACTTCAGTATAAATTTAGTATTAAAAACTTTGATACCCTTGGAGAAATTAAACCTTAAAATTTTTACTGCAATTTCACAAAATTGAAAATATTTCAAAAACGGTAAGGTTTAAGAGTGATAAACCTTAACCAGATTTACCTTTATTTCAATCATAGAATCCAAAAATAGAATATTATACAGGGTGTTCCATTTAAAAAAATACAACTTTGATATTTTTTATTTATTTGGGACACTCTGTATCTTGTAAAAATATTTTTAAATTGTAGCTCTAATAGTCCTTCAACGAACCCAAAACTTACAATTTGTAAAAATCTAATCGTTTAGCTACAATACTCCGTGTCGTATGTGGTGAACAACCCTGTATATCGGATATATATCATGATATTTATACCTTGATATATATCATGATATTTATAAAAAAATAAAACTCAACAATCAGAAAGAAAAAAACAAAAATATAATATTGATTGGATTTGGGACAATTCAAATGTACCAAAAACTTTGCCAGAAACAGTATCAATTGATTGTGACCCTGACGAATCTGTCGATGATTTACCATTAATAAAATTAATAAATCATATAAATTTGTTTGTTGTTAATTTTAGAATATCTGTTTATTTTTTTGAATTTCCGTTTATTTTTTAGAATTTCAGTTTATTTCTTAGAATTCCTGATTATTTTTTAGAATTTCCATTTATTTTGTAGAATTTTTGTTTATTTTTTAGAATTTGTTTATTTTTAGAATTCCTGTTTATTTTTTAGAAGTTCTGTTTATTTTTTTAGAATTTCCGTAGATTTTTCATATATTTTCGTTTTAATGTTGTTCCTATTATGTGCAAAGCAACAATAATTAAGTTGAAATAAAAATATTTGCTTGAGCTCTTGATTTTACTTGATACTAAATGCAGTTTTACATAAAAAATGAAAACAAAAATATATATCAAAACTTGATATATATCGGATATATAAGTGTCAGAGTTCAATTGGATTTACCACAGATTATCAATTTGAACGATTTGAAGTACAGTCGATTCCAGTTTAGAGATTTTCGTTTTTTAAGCCTCCTATACTGAAGTCCGCCATATTGGGAAGTTTTGAATGAATACAAGTATAGTTACTTTGGAGGTGCCATTACTCTTAATTTGAAACCTTAGTAAAATAAGTAAATACATAATGCTGGTGTCATAAAATAGTATGAGGATTCGTTAGTCATAATAGTATAAATATTCTACAACACTGGATTGTTATTGTTTGTGTGTGCATAAGTAACTAAATATCCTAAATCGCAGCATGAAGACGATTTGCTTTATTATAATGACTGCAATTATTGGTATATAAGCCCTCCAGACATTGAGATATCAGTTCATAATAACCTTGAAGTATCTAAGAAAGATGCTCAATCAACAAAAGTTATGGTAAGTGGAATTTATTTTAAAATTCATATTTTATTTACCCGATAGAATTACAAATGAAATACTTTTGGTTCCTTTTAGAATAATTTTTTGTCATGTGTTTTTAATTTCTCGGCAAAAAAAAACGGCCACTAAAAACTAGTCCCAAGTGCTCGACGATGTCTTGGAAGTAGCTGGGGTCCTGTGGCAGGCCTCCTTGAAGACAAGCTGTTTTCTTTTTAGTCTTCGTTGGATTGTTGTCTCACTGACTTGAGTTCTACACACGGCTTGTAGCAGATGTTGATTCTGAAACGCTGTAATTCTACGATTTCGTAAAATATTCAGGACAATAAAGCGGTCGTCAATTGCATTTGTCTTCCGTTTTCTTAGTTCACCCCATAGACTTAAAATAAAATATAGACTGAGCATCTCATTCATAAATAGCTGGAACATGCAGTCAGACAATGTCTTGTTATTGTTTTAGGTTATAACGAGTGCGACACGAGCGATAGATAGGTTGTCTCTGTCGTAACGGTCGTTCCCTGACGGCTCTGCCGAGAAACACAACACTGTCTTTCGTTTCTCAAGTACACCTGAACTCTCCGTATCATAGCCGGGTATTTTTTTTATTTTAATGAAGCTATAATTAAATTAAAAATATATCGTATTTAAACGTTTTTATATTTTATTAAGATTTAGGACAGGTTTTTTACATAAAAGTTTAGAAAAAACGTCTTAGAGTCCGAAAAGGATAAACATAATAAAATACACGTTATAGAAGAAATTTTATAATCGAAATTACGTAATTTTTGAAATTAATAATAAATTATTAATTTTAGTCAAACATTTACAACCCCTAATATTAATCAAAACCGGATCTATTCCACAGATATAATAGAATCGGCGACAGGGAGAGAAAAAAAAATGATTGTTGTAATTTTTTTTCTAGTTAAGTGATGTCTTATTATGTAAATTAGAGAAAACATAAATCTGTTCCATTAAAGCAAGGAAGGTGATAGGAAGTGGATAAAATAAAAACTACATTTATTTAACTCGGTACTGTCTTTATTATACCGGGTGCGGCTCAAAAGTGGCTCATCCCCATAATTTTTTTATATTTTCAAATAAAAAAACAAGATTTAGTATGTTAGTATATGAAATAAATTAGGATTGATTGACGCATTCAATTGTTTTTGGTCACTTCCTGTGTCACCGGAAATGACTATAACTTTTAATTTTTAAACGGCACCCTCGGTATATTTCTACTTTATTCGATAGAAAATGACACTCTGAATAGAATGAAATATCATATGTCAACTTTTGACATTTTCGCATATGGTTTAATTGTAATTGTAACACGCGGTTCATAACGACAATTTGACTCGAAATACCAAGTGTGTGGTATCAATATATTCATAAAAAAATGCTTTTTCCAAATATGCTAACGAGTCACCCTTGTTCCATTTGAAAAAATTGACATATGTATGATTAAAAATATGATTTGTACATCTTTTAATCGGCCTAGACAAGACACGAAACCCATTAGACGATCAAAACTATTTTTCCAAGGCTCCTTGATTAAAACTTAGTGTTTTTAACAACACCATGGCACCCTGGATTGAAATTTATAATACGATTTGTTTTTAAGCGACAATGTCAAAAGTTGACATATGATATGTCATTCTATTCAGAATTCTATTATCATTTTCTATCGAATAAAGTAGAAATATACCGAGGGTGCCTTTAAAAATCAAAAGATGTAATCATTTCGGTGAAACAGAAAGAGACCAAAAACAATTGAATACGTCAATAAATCCTAATTTATGTCATATACCTACTAACATACAAATCTGTTTTTTTATCTGAAAAAATAAAAAAGTTATAGCGGTGAACCACTTTTGAGACGACCCGGTATATTAAAAAATATTGTCTCATAATGTAATATCATATTAAAATTCTTGTATGTTATTTTAGATTCTGAAGATAATTTTAGAATAAACCGGAATATATTTTTAATAAAAACATTATTAATTATTAACAGGGTTATAATTATGATTTTGTTACAATGTAAGTAAGTAAATAATGTAATATAAGAGAAAAAATTCAGATTTTACATTTTACTAAAATATTATCTAAATAAGCGCCTTTCTACAACAACGCCACTGACTCCCAATGGGTAAATTGAGAGTTGCCTAGACTTAAATGAATTATTTAAGTCAAATTTTTCTTGCAAATTTGGCACTGGCGAACCATATTTTATAGTTCTTGAACAGAAAAAGTCAATAAAATAAACACTTAAGGACTACAAGCTAAGTAAATGCGTTAATACAGCCGGGGACATAGCGGCAACAAAGCTTTACCGCACACGTGCGACGCGTACTACAAGGTAATAAATGAATGAATAGGCTCCCTCACCTGTAATCGGTGTTGTCATATTGTAAAGAACTTATCCTTTTTAAACAGTATCCGACTAATAATTTAGTAGTATAAGGACTATTTAATACATCTATGGAATATTAAAACCTACTTTATTAAACTGTAGTATTAATATCTCAATATCTGTGTATAACAAGAAAAAGAATATTGATAATATTAAAGACGTGACAACATAGGCTGGATGAGGAAGGCTCGGTCGACTGTACCCAGAAGTAAACATGTGTACAAAAAAGATTGTTTGACCGCGTTGAGATGTAAATAGTGTAGTCTATATTTTATTTTAAGTCTATGGTTCACCCACTTAGTTCAGTCATTGGGGATTTTTGCTTGGAAAAAAGTCCGGAAGTTTTGCAACTTTGCAGGTTTTTAGGTTTTGGGGTCCCTAACTAAAATCCATAAAATGCACATTTGCAGACTTGCCGCCGGCGCGCGGTGTCGCCATCTTGCCAAGATGGCGCCCAAAATCGGTATTTTGTGAATATCTCGAAAACTATGCGTTTTTCGCAAAAATTTGAGGAGAGCAAAATTAAAGAGAATAAAATTTCCTATAAAAAAGGTTTCATGAAAATTTTCGCTAAAAGTCAACCGTTTAGGCACAAAATCGCTGGAAATTTTACAATTTTGCGTAAAATATGTTATATTATGCAGGGTGTCCCAGAAATACGTGCCAGTATTTTAACTTAACTGGTAGTATTGTTCAACCCCAGAAACACGTCTATGAGGTTTTTTTCTAAATAATTTTTTTTTGAAAATTCGGAAATTTTTTAAAATTTTTTTGGAATTTTTTTTAGTTTTTATTTAAAAAAAATAATTTCTTGATAATATGGCAAAATAGGTAGTAGATTAAATTTACAAGAAAGAAAATCCAGAAAAGATCCAGTGGTTCTCAAACAAATCTCGAAGTTTTGGAAAAAATGTGTAAGGACCGTAGACTTAAAATAAAATATAGACTACACTATTTACATCTCAACGCGGTCAAACAATCTTTTTTGTACACATGTTTACTTCTGGGTACAGTCGATCGAGCCTTCCTTATCCAGCCTATGTTGTCACGTCTTTAATATTATCAATATTTTTTTTCTTGTTGTACACATATATTGAGATATTAATACTACATTTTAATATAAAAAAAATTAATATATTAAATAGTCCTTATACTACTAAATTATAAGTCGGTTCCTTTTTATAAAGGATAAGCTCTTTACAATATGACAACACCGATTAGAGGCGAGGGAGCCTATTCATTCATTTATTACCTTGTAGTACGCGTCGCACGTGTGCGGTAAGGCTTTGTTGCCGCTATGTCCTCGGCTGTATTAACGCATTTTCTTAGCTTGTAGTCCTTAAGTGTTTATTTTATTAACTTTTTCTATTCAAGAACTATAAAATATGGTTCGCCAGTGCCAAATTTGCAAGAAATTTGACTTAAATAATCCATTTAAGTCTTGAAACGACTTTCGACCGGTAGGCAACTCTCAATTTACCCATTGGGAGTCAGTGGCGTTGTTGTAGAAAGGCGCTTATTTAGATAATATTTTAGTAAAATGTAAAATCTGAATTTTTTCTTTTACATTACATTATTTACTTACTTACATTGTAACAAAATCATAATAACCCTGTTAATAATTAATAATGTTTTTATTAAAAATATATTCCGGTTTATTCTAAAATTATCTTCAGAATCTAAAATAACATACAAGAATTTTAAAATGATATTACATTATGAAACAATATTTTTTAATATACCCTATTTTTTCAGATAAAAAAAACAGATTTGTATGTTAGTAGGTATATGACATAAATTAGGATTTATTGACGTATTCAATTATTTTTGGTCTCTTCCTGTTTCACCGAAATGATTACATCTTTTGATTTTTAAAGGCACCCTCGGTATATTGCTACTTTATTCGATTAAAAATGACACTCTGAATAGAATGACATAATATCATATGTCAACTTTTGACATTGTCGCTTAAAAACAAATCGTATTTTAAATTTCAATCCAGGGTGCCATGTTGTTGTTAAAAACACTAAGTTTTAATCAAGGAGCCTTGGAAAAATAGTTTTGATCGTCTAATGGGTTTCGTGTCTTGTCTAGGCCGGTTAAAAGCTGTACAAATCGTATTTTTAATCATACATATGTCAATTTTCAAAGCATTTTTTTTATGAATATATTGATACCACACACTTGGTATTTCGAGTCAAATTGTTATGAACCGCGTGTTACAATTACAATTAAACCATATGCGAAAATGTCAAAAGTTGACATATGATATGTCATTCTATTCAGAGTGTCATTTCTATCGAATAAAGTAGAAATATACCGAGGGTGCCGTTTAAAAATTAAAAGTTATAGTCATTTCCGGTGAAACAGGAAGTGACCAAAAACAATTGAATGCGTCAATCAATCCTAATTTATGTCATATACTAACATACTAAATCTTCTTTTTTTATATGAAAATATAAAAAAATTATGGGGGATGAGCCACTTTTGGGACGCACCCGGTATAATAATGACAGTACCGAGTTAAATAAATGTAATAAGAAAAAAAATTACAACAATCATATATTTCTTTTTCTATTATATCTGTGGAATAGATCCTGTTTTGATTAATATTGGGGGTTGTAAATGTTTGACTAAAATTAATAATTTATTATTAATTTCAAAAATTACATAATTTCGATTATAAAATTTCTTCTACAACATGTATTTTATTATTTTTATCCTTTTTGGACTCTAAGACGTTTTTTCTAAACTTTTATTTAAAAAAACCTGTCCTAAATCTTAATAAAATATAAAAAAGTTTAAATACGATATATTTTTGATTTAATTATAGCTTCATTAAAATAAAAAAATACCCGGCTATGATACGGAGAGTTCAGGTGTACTTGAAAAACGAAAGACAGTGTTGTGTTTCTCGTCAGAGTCGTCAGAGAACGACCGTTACGACAGACAACCTATTTATCGCTCGTGTCGCACTCGTTATAATTTAAAACAATAACAAGACATTGTCTGACCGCATGTTCCAGCTATTTATGAATGAGATGCTCAGTCTATGTTTTAGTTTAAGTCTATGGTAAGGACCAAGAACTATTGACTACAATAAAACGACGGAAAGCAGCATATTTTGGTCATATTTTTCGAAGTAACAAATATAGTTTCCTACAGCTGATCGTTGAGGGACAGATTGAAGGACGACGAGGCATCGGGCGTAAACGGGTTTCCTGGTTGCGGAATTTGCGCCAGTGGTTTAATATAGGAGAGGCCAGTGCAATTATCCGTTTGGCTCAAGACAGGAAGGAATTCCAATTGATGGTCGCCAACCTCCGATGAGGAGAAGGCACATCAAGAAGAAGGTTCTCAAAATTTTAGCAAAAGATCATTTTTTTGGAAATTTTCAAAGTAAAATAACTCCGTTATTTTGGACTTATTTGAAAAACGATAAGAGAAAATATCTTTCTTTTATCGAGATCTACCACCCTTTAAAATACTTGCACTTATTTCTGGGATACCCTGTTTATAACAATACACGTGATGCGTATACGCAAAGTTGCGAACGATGTCAAGAATAGGTACCCAGATTGGCGTTGACTACCAGTAAGCGGCAAACCTGCTTGCACTGTGTTCGCACACTTAGAGTCTTTTTCGATAAATCGCGATAGTGTCACTGTTAATTTAGTTCTGCCACAATTTCCATCTAGATTTACTACCTTTATACAACTATCAGTAGTAGAATAAATAATAAATAACATAAAATAAGCTCCGTAAAGACTGACAAATCCACAAAATTTCAAATCAAATTCCAATGTGTCAAATGAATCGTCAAACAGAACTGTCAAGGATCCCCACCCTAGAGTGCGTTTTCCGCCCACCATGCATGAATACATGGATAGCATTATGCTCCTTCCTTAGTCTTCTTATTCAAAGGAACCAGTTAATAAAATAACCAAAAAATTGTTAATATTTAAGTGATGATAACAACGACGGTCTTCTGAAACATAAATGAAGGTCATTTCTAATATTATCTGAATTTTTTTTTTTTTTTTTTTAGGATGTATAGTACATTATTATATATTATATCTTTTTTCTCTTTTCTATTTCAGACAGTTGGATTGGAAGAACTATATTCAACTATGAGCTTAAGTGACAATTTTGAGAATGATGCTAATAAATCAGTGCTAAGTAGTTTTGAGAGTGATAATGTAGAACAGAAAGGTTAGTTACAACTGTTTAGTTTCAATAAATATTCTGCTAATTTATTTAAAAAAAAACCGGTTATAGTCTCATTTGAGTTGATCCCTGCAGCGGAAATCTTTAGTAAGGACGAAAGATTGGGATCCGCTCTGACGGGAATCCAGAGTCTATTTATCACAGGGTTTCTTAAAGTGTGGTCCACGGACCGCTTAGGGGTCCATCGCAAGTGTATTAGGGGTCCGCGGTCCGCATTACGCCAGTTAATTGTAAACATATTGATTAAGAAAAGAAATAGTGTAGGGCGGCGAATTCAGTAAGTATTTAATCACTAAACACTACGCGATGCGCGTAAGGATAAAAAAAACAAAGTTGAAGCTGTTCCCTTATCAAACGATGTTATTAATTCTAGAATTGTTGAAATGTCGTCAAATGTTTTACAAGTTGTTGAAGAATTAATTGCTTCACCGTTTCCATCCAGCATTCAATTAGATGAAAGCACCGATGTGTCACAATGTAGCTAACTCTTGCTATTTGTCCGTTACGTACAACAAGACACACGTAGTATTAAAGAAGAGTTTCTTTTTTGCAATTCACTTTTGGAGACTACAAAGGCTTCAGATGTTTTTGAAACGACAAAAAGGTTTTTCGACAAACAAAATATAGACTGGAAGACTAAACTTAGTAGTATCTGCACCGATGGAGCTCCCGCAGTGCTTGGTAATTCGTCTGGTTTCGCGGCTTTAAGAATCAAGAGATTCCTCATGTCATAATAACTAGCGATGGGAACTATCGAATGAATTAGACTATCGAATAGTTAATGAATTAATGATTTCAACTATCGAATGGTTTTATTCGAATAGAATCATTCATTCATTTGTATACTAAAGCATATGTGACAACCTCGCCGTGCGACTAAATGGTTATCGTTGAGCCACGACTATCGAATGCTTTTGATAAATGAAATTTAGTATTCGTTTGATTTTTGTGTGCGTCAGTGCATTATTAGTTCTTCCAAATTTTTATAACTTCGCTGTATAAATAATGTGCTATTTTTGCGTTTATTAAAATAGTTAAAATAAATGAAAAAAAATTTGTGTGGTTTTCCGTAGTCCGATCTTTCAATTATTTAATTTTATATGGTATATGGTATATTTTTTAATGGGAAATTTTGAGAAGTAGCAATTTTAAGAGATGAGATGAACTTACAATTAATTTTAAAAATACATATTTGTATTTTAGATGTTTTTAATAATATGAATTAAAGTTGAACTTAATAATCATATTTAAGTAATGTGGTTAGAAAAGTAAATGCGGTTATCGAACTCAAAACTATAGGGTGAGAAAAATTAAAATGAAAGTTTTACGTGCCAATTTAATTTGGCTAATTCTTTTATGCTAATTCTCTTACATGTAGTTTTTGCGAAGAAATATTTCATTTATTTTTTAAAGTAAATGCCAGTAAAGTAAATATAATTTTTTAAATAGTAATATAAAGCACCTAATATAAATAATTTTGATTTCTAATTTTTTATTTATATTTTCCTTCCATTACACTGCATGCTTAGAAAATTAATAAATGTTTATATTTCATGATTTTAAAATTTGTTGTTAATATAACAAATTAGTTCTGTAATTATTATTATTTAATAAAACCAACGTTGCCACACACAAAAATTTAGAGACTATATTATTTTTAAATAGGATCTAATATAAATAATTTTGACATCTAATTTGTTGTTTATATTTTGCTACTGCTTAAAAAAATATTTATATTAAATGATTTTAAATTTTGTTGTTAATAGGTATAACAAATTATTCCTGTTATTATTATTTATTAAACCAGTCTTTGCTTAAAAACATTAAAAATAATTTTCCTACATCCAAAATAACAAGTATTATTGCAGTGTAACCACAGAATATTAATAAAAAAATGCAGAATATATAGACTATCCCTAACTAACTAAAGCCAAACAATAATATTCTTTGCTAATATCAACTAATACCAAAATATGGCAACAGCGCCCTTCATAATGTATTTTCTGTGTAAATACTAGCACCTCAATAAAAAAAATAATGTGTCCTTATCTATGTATATCTGACTCCGCAAAAAATCAAAGATGCCGGCTTCTTTCATAGCATTGCCGAAACCTACGTCGCCGGGCGACAAACTAAGAAATTCAGTTAATATTTTATTATAATCGATCTTGACGAATAAATGAATTTCATAAATGAATGAATTTTATAAATGAATGGTTTTTGCTGCCGAATTACTAGAATACAATATTTCAAGGCAGATGACGGATCTATTCGATAATTTTTATTCGAATAGTTTTCAACGAATGTTTTCTTACTAACTATCGAATTATTCGAATGAATTGCAACTATCGAATGTTTCGATAGTATTCATTCGATACTTCCCACTACTAGTTCTGATACCATTTGCTACTACTACGTACCTTTGCCGAGGCAGGGTTCTTGGTTCTGGTCTCAATATAAACAAAAAGTCGCAACCGATTGAATGTCGCAGATGATATGCCCCTTGCCTTGTCGAAGATAACTCCACAATTTAACGTTCCCATTGGGGCTAAACAGCAGCATCCTGCTCGTTAATTTACTAGTGTACGTGTAATAAATCTACTAATAAACGTTTTCTTTTTATGTAAATAAGGCTTTTTTATTTTCCCCTATTATTTCTGATAGGGGTCCGTGGAATTGTACAAATTGCGAAAGTGGTCCGTGACTGTAAAAAGATTAAGAAACCCTGATTTATCATATAGGATATCAAGGTCTTTGTGCCTTGTTTATGTAAACGAAAGTTGGTTTAATAATTCTCTAAAAAACAATATTTTGTCTCTATAGTCAAATTATTCGAGTTATTTTCAATAGGGTAGTTGCAAAAATTAAAATTTAGGACTTCTCTTATATCGGTACCATTTAGCTCCGCGCGCACTGAATGGGTATCGGCGAGAGCGAGCGGCACGTAATTTTCAGTTTACGTTAAAATAAATGTAAGCCCGCGCACCGCATTAGATCGGTGCGCTCGATGCGCTTCGAGCTATCGGCGGTACTCGCGCCATCAGGCGAAATCAGAGAATGCACGGGAGGGGACGAATAGTCTACGCCGAACGACTGTTTTTAGTGGATCGGTTTTACATTAAACATGTCCGATGAATTATTAATCGAAAGTGTATGAGACCATATCATACTTAATATGCGGTTCTTTATAAAAATTTCTTCCAAGCACGTAACCTATATTGTTTACTACACTTATTCAATAACTGAATTAGAAAATCTTCCGATTAAACCCATTTATTTCTCATCTCGTTTTGATTATCTCACATTACTTTGAAACTCGAATTTAAATATCGTCAAAAAACTTATCATATTATTTAATTTTTGGTTTGTTTTGACGTTAGTAATAACAGCTGATAAATAGTCATCCTATGTTACTATGTTGATCGCTCCGTACAAGGTACAAATAGAGAAAATAATATTTATGTTTGAATAAAATATTTGTACATATATCTACCGTATGATAGAAAAAAACGGCGTCCAGTTGGATGGGAGATGACGATTGATGACATTTCCTATATAAATTTACATATAAAATGGCACCGACCTTCATTTCATGGCCATCGCTGATGCCGTTCCTTTTCGATAATACGGTACTATAAAAACTATTTATATTTTTTTTTTCAATTTTCTTTGACTTTTTTATTATATTTTAAGTTTTTAAAATCTTGGTTTTTTAAGTCAGAAGTGAATAAAACAGAAAACTTGTGTTTACATTTTAGTTTAATGATTGACGTTTCGACTAATTTTTAATTCGGTCTTCTTCAGAATCTATAATATACAATACAATTTTATCACTAACAATGTGTTTAATATATAAGTTTTCTTACCGCAAACGTAGAAAATTAGTTATACGTATATTATAGATTCTGAAAGAAGACCAAATAAAATTAGTCGAAAGCACGTCAATCATAAACAAAATAAACACAAGGATTCTGTTTTATTTACTACCTACTGACTTAAAACAAAGATTTTAAAAACTTAAAATAAAAGCTATATATAAATGTTTGTAATGACACTTATTTAGATTAAAAAACTAAAAATAGAAGTTTTATTTGACTATTTTTCATATCTAGCTTTGTTTTTAAAGAACAAATTAAACCCTTTTGAATGATACCAAATTTGTTAAAATCGGTTAAGCGAAGGGTTATGTAGTATATTTTTTCCCCATCTTTCACTCTATTTCACTAATTTTATGTGGTTTGTTAAGATCTAAATATATTAATGTGTGTTTGGTTAAGATCTAAATAATATTAATTTCCATCATAAAGCATAAAATATAAAAAGTTGCATAAAAATATAAATAGTAATAATACTTTATAATTTTTAATTATTAATGCCGAATGAATTTGAATAAACTTCTCTTCGTCTATGCTCAAATTTATGCTGGTGACGTACTCTCGACCGTCGATCGTGCGACTCCAGTGCGCGGCTACAATCGACTTTCCGACCGGTCACAGCGGACAATTTTAAAGAAGTAGGTGGTAAAAATGTTTTAATAGTTTGCAATGTGGAAAAAGACTTAATTATATCTCGGACAAATGTAAAAAACTAAAATGTTAAATAATTTATTAACATTTTCAGAAAAAAAAATTAAATGATGTATTAAAAAAAATTGAAAACTCGTAACGATTTGATCTTCTTTATTTTTTTTTTCTTGACAGATTCATTGACGTTAAATTTAGCAGCAATAAATAAGTTTCAGTTCCTAATTTAACTAAATTTAATAATGACAAGTATATAAATAAATATAATATGATTATAACTATATCATGTAACATTATCATACGAGTATAACTATAAATAATTTAAAATTTACTTTCATCAGACTCGTCTGTGCTTGCTTCGTCATCGGATAAGTGATCTACAGAAATATTAGTAAGTGGGGATGCTTTAATATCTGGGCATTTTAAAAGACTAAGGCATTTTAAAAGACTTCTTTGGAAAAT